TGTTCTTTGCTCGAAGGAGACATAACAAACTTTTGAAAAAAACATTATGAAAAGTACTGGTATTCTTTCTGTAGACATCAAATTCTAGCGCTTAGTTACCTATGATCACTAATACTTCCTAGAATGGTAACTCCTCGTCGTTGTTTTCAATTCCATATGTCAGTAATACATCGTTTACATATCGGATCCAAGTCTGTGAAAATTAATATAACTCCTATTTTGCTACTATTCAAGCAGATAGCTTTATGATGTCTGTAGAATAAGTTATTGAACTGGAAGCAATTCTCTTCCATGCAGATTTTTGCTAGATGTATGTCTTCGATTACTTCTCCAATGAGACAATTGAGCCTCAGAAGTTTTCTCAAATATTCAATTTTGGTATAGGGACATTTGGAAACAACGAGAATACATCCAATGATACTAAAATCTCTCCATCTCGCAACTGTGTTTCATACTATTTGGCTAGCATTTTTTTACATCTTGGTCTGAATAGGCTCAGGATGTGGAGTGTACTCCAGATCACTAAGCCTAAGGATTAAGTGGGGAATGGGAAAAAATGCCAGCGTGGTTCAAACAGAACCGGCTGATTTCTCAATCGCCACAAAAGAAATGAACAGGAAAATAATTTCTGTCAAAAACATACCAATCTGTACTGATTGCAGATCTAGTAGCCTTGAACAGACAACGTGTTACCTCAGGGCTAGTGCTACAGTGCCACCAAGATTGAGTTAAGGACTCAGTAGATAATAACATTATCCCGAGGTGGATTAAAGGGTACGACAGGAATGAAAGTAATCGCATTGCCGATTCTTTAGCCAAGGAAGCGAAGGGACTAAGAATTTTAGGACCCAGTGGCACCTACGGCCTGGTGACTTCGACAATTGCGGAACTAGCCAAACGTTACACCCATGTTCAATCCCTAAAGAGATGGGATGAAATCAAAGGATGCAATCTTGCCAGGATCACCCTGGGCGACCCTGGAAAGCTGGCGCCGAAAAAATATCTGGCGATGACCAGGAAAAACCTACGCTTAACAGTAGGATATCTAACTAGCCACTGTCAACAAAGAAACACCTCCATATTATAGGGCTAGTGGACACACCTCTATGCAGGATATGTGACAGGAAGATGTCAGGCATGTCATATGCGAGTGTCCGGAGTTATAGTCAATAAGAGAGTGTGGGTTTGGCGAGTCTTGGCCTACATAAAGGAGATGTCTCCTAGTGACCTGTCCACCTTCCTGGACAGGATGAACGATGACCTAGGAAGACAACTCTTCGGGAGGATGTACAATGGGTCACATGTGACCTAAGTGCTATGTGGCTAAACTCACCTTCCCTACTCTACAGATACAGATAGTGTCTATGTGGATAAATCATCTTCAAGCTAGTGGAACTTCTTTTCAACATAGTATGTTTGCAATTATATTTGGTTATTCAACGCTATTCATTAAATTTCGCGTAAGAATTCGAAATTTTGTAGTTGAGCTGGCTGGAATTTACAATGTATTTTTAATTTGCATCTGTTGCAAATTTGAATGATTTATTTATTCATGTTACACACTGCTTGATAGTTGTAATAGTATTTCAGGAAAAATAGAGAATCTACAACACAAAATACAAAATTTTGAGCGGTTTACAATCTCACATGATTAAAAAATCAATTTCATGTTATTCAGTTGGTTACAATATTTTTCGCGAACTGTCGATGTTAACACTCGAAATTTAACGTATATTATCAGAATATTTCAAATTCTCAATCATGTTCATTGGATAACCAGATGAATTGTTGTTTGCTAGTACACAAATTAATAATGACACTGTTGAGCGATAGAAAAACAGCTCGGTATTTACCAATCGCAAATGCAAATGAAAATGGTCGATATATATGACATACGTAGATAATTTCGTTGAAAAGATTATGAATGTGTTATCTACTTCATAACAATATCAAGAAAACCTATTGTTATTTAACGCGATTTCCAAAACAAAGTTATTTTTGTTTTGTAGTCTACGGGTTTTCCGTGATTTAATCACGGAAAATTCGTAGACACAAATGAAGAAACACTAAATTCTAATGATATATTCTTATTGAACAATTAATAACAATTACGTATAATGATATTTCGGAAAAATGTAGGATATCATTAAGAATGGCACTGTTAGAAGAGAGTAATTAATGAACTTTTATATATTCAACTATAAAATTAGGAGTAAGCAATTCAATGATCAATGTTAATAAACTTTTAAAACAATATTTGCGAACTGATGATGAATTCGCACAAAATGTTACTTCTGCATTTTCAGAATGTTTGTATTTCGGTCAAGTAATTCTCGATTTCAATCACAGTTGTCTAGCGTTTCTTTTCCAGAGTATAAGTAGGTGATGACTCTCTTGTTAATCACCTGGCGGCAGCTTATTTTGTTTTCTAGCTTGCGCATTTTCTCTGATCCAATCAAAATTAAAAAAAAAACAACCGAAATTCATGAATGAAGAAATTAACTACTCGTGAATTATATTTTCGCATTGTAAAAGCATAAACTAATTTCCCTGTGTAGAAAATTGTTTGTCGTTCAATTTTCGGTACTCACAATGATCCACAAGTTAATTGGCAATTACTCTCAGAATCAAACTGCAATTACTTAGCAACCAGCTGTGAAGTAGTCAAGGAAATGGAATTGTATAAGCTCTGTTGTTACACGATGAAAATTCTAATAAATATTTCACTCGAATTCTCGATTTCATCACAATTTCAAACCGATCAATTATAAAAAACCACCATGTTTTCCTCATTATCAGAATTCCCGCATTTACTTTTAATTATTTGCGGCAAAATTCCCAATGCGCGAAACCGAGATTGCAATATCAATTCAAGAACAAATTAATTCCCAGCTTTTCGAAGTAGCTTTAGTTCGGTTATTCCTTTCTTTGATAGAGAAGCCGGTCGTCAGCTGTTACAGTACTGCCTTGTGACGAGGCTAACGACGCGCCATGAGATGCGAACAGGCTTCTCCCCTCCTATTGGGCCCGACCGCCATGTCGGTAGGTAAAGACGGGGCTAGGGGAACACTAATTATATAAAAAAATTCGAAAGTTAGCAATAAGTTTTTATTTGATAAGACTTTCACCTCGAACATCTAGACAGTATTGAAATTATTAAAATATTATATTCTATATTGAATGAATATTATATTCAATAGAGATGAACTCATTTACTTTGTTGTTTTGCATAAATTTTTTTATACTCAGATATATTATTTGAAATGGTCAGACACAGTTTTGATAAAATCATTTTCACAATATCGAACAGAACACCTCACTCCAAAGAAATAAAACAAAAACAGAAACATATTTGTATTTGTACTATGCTAAGCAAAAAAAATTCAAGGTACGAAAACAAATGAGAAAATATGTAGGTAACTGTGCAGTACAGTAATAATGAATTGTGATGTTTATGGTAATTCAAACGATTATTTTTGTAATCATATGAGAAAATAAAATGCAATGGTAGTTTTTCCAATGAAAAATACAATGAATGAGGATGATAATTTTCATGATATAAACGTTGGATGATTACTTAACATTATTCTTGACTACGTTGAAATTGTATCCTTCAATTGAGTTTCAAATCTAAAACTATAATATATGATGAGACAACTCTCAACGTTTATTGAAATTTTCAATGAATTAGAATTTTAGCATGAATTTTGTAACTTTGAGTCGGATATCCCTGGCTGGCGTCAGTTTATAACATTCACCACAAAAAGACATATATTTTCAAAGATATGGACGATTGGTTACCACTGATAACTTATCAAGGTAAAAAGTCGAATGGCCTAATGTATATTTATATATTCAAAATCACAATAAATTTTAACGAAAACGTCAATCGAATAAAAAAGGGCTACATAAATACTTCCGATGTCACAAACAATTAGGTACCATCCAGAATTCATTATTGAACTGTTTGAATTAACTTCTATCAATATGTTTGAGTAAAACTTTATTCTGAGATTTTAACTGAACAGTTTATTAAACAATAACATTTTTTTATCTAATAGCTTCTTCAGGCATGTTGATATACTAACTTTAACTCAAGATGCTATTATATAGTGAAACACATGATGCTGTTCTGTAAACTGTGAGGTGAAAATCTCACAATAAGGGGTTACGATTATATGGATGTTAATCAAGTGTCTACCAATTCTGCAACATAACTTCTATCGAATTTTCAAATGCAAAATCTTCTAATTCAGGTAATACAGTATTGAAAATTCAAAACGAATAACGCTACCTCACATAACATGGTTCAAAATCAGTTTATTTCAATAATTTTTTTGGTGCACATTTAAAGGCAATTTTTATGTATATTTCATGTCCATTAGCGAAAAAACAAATAACTAGGTCATAATATCTGTCATTTCAAGATGTTCTAGCTACAACAATTTTCAAACTCTGATTATAGAAGTATTGTAAAGCTTTCCGTATGTTCAGTAGTCCAACTTTCTAGATTTCCAGAAGTTTCGTAACACGATTCACGAGAATGAGAGCAACTTTCCAATCCAAACCTTGACCCTTGAAAAATAAAACGTCCCACGTCCCTGTTTGCCAGCAGCACGCTACGCTACGTCACACTATCTATATATTAACGTTCACTGCCGAGTCTGGCCTCATATTCAACGCAAGACTCGAAGTAGTCTGAAAAGTTTTAGAGGTTGTTTGGCTAGTTTAAAGCTAGGCCCTCGATCTGAATTTTCATTCTAGTCAATTGAATTTTCCAGTGAAGTGATTCGTCACGAACTCTTAACCAAAGGATTATTTATTCAGTGTGCTTGTGCTTAGTGTGCTGCTACAAACAGTGATTAATAAAGTGAATTATAGCGCCAAAACTGTCGAAAAACCGGCCTCAAAATAGCTATCTTTAATTTTTCATCACGGAGCCCCGATTCGAAAATGGTGGGCAGTAACGGCACAATGATTGCAATCCGTCTTGTTCGCAGCAAACTGAGGAAGAGGGAAGAACACAGCAACAGTGTTCACCCCGTGACTGATGTGGTTTTGCAGACTACACCCACCGCCCAGATCAACAACCACCAAAGCTCTCCTCCCCAGGCTCTTCAAACGGATCTAACTTACCGAGGACAAATTCTCTGGACGCAACCACCACCCCCTACCTCTCAGTTCCTGTACAACAACAACCAGGTAAATTTCGAATAAAATAAAAGAAAAACTAAATTTACCAGCAGTTTTCAAATTTGCGCTTCATTGAGAATCTCTAACAAAGCTTGAGAAATCTTTACGTAATAGTTTCATTGAACCACTAGCGAATTTCTCTTTTATTGTTGACTTTCGAAATAAAAATCTCCAATTAAAGGTAACCGTTGCATGCTCTGGAGAATTGAGGTCACAACTATTAACATAACCGATATTAGTTTTGCAACTAGTCGATCGAAACAGGTAAACCGTGGTGATTGGGAATTTTCAAGCTTGCAACTATTCCTAGATATCGAGTTTATCGCCTTGAGTTTTCAACTCTCTCGACCGCAAGGTTTCTATTCATTGAAATGCAATCCGCGTTTGGAAACAGTTAGCGGAACTGTACATTTACACCGTGCGGAGATGCTAAAAACTTTCAGAATCCGACTTCCGTGGCCCAAAAACAAGCCAGTGAAGAAGGCAACACATTTTTTGTGAAATAAAAAATCGTTTCGTGGTGAACGGTTAACTGATATTTAATTCGTCAGCTACGTTGCCACATTCAGTAGTTAACGAACTTGTTAACCTCGATTGCCGGACAGACTTTGTAAATTCCAGCTAACATTTGCATAATCACTAATACGTCCTCAAATATCCATGTAAGCAAACGTCATTCAGGTTCCACATTTGGTGGGTTTTTTCAATGAAGGTATTCACTAGACACAAAATAATGTTTCTGGTACATGGTACATAGCCTTCAGTGCTGGCAACAGCGTAAAGAAACTGGGCAAACGAACCCATGAGAGCATGTGTCCTTTGCTGGTTCGTATGTTAGACAAAGAGCGACGAGGCGATTGAACAAGTTTTATCCCCTTTTCATTGTTTGAAACAATTGTAAGAATGAAAACGTGCCAAAGTTGAGCATGAAGAATATTCAAATATTCACCAAGGCTATAATTGCCGAGCTTCCGCCTTTCAAAGGTCAATGACATTGCGAGGCTATATCGATCAGAAGCACCCTAAGTTAGAATAGGCTGTACAAAAATATATTCAACCCTAGCAACGCGGCAGGGGAGATATTTCTCACGCATTGCTAGCTCAATTATCATAGTAAAAGTATCACTTCGCCACTAATACTTTAACTTGAAATAGGCGTCAGTCTACACTTTCGATTTCACGTGGTTCTCGCTTAACATTTCCGTTTTCTCGCCGACCTCGGACTGATGTAAGTTTATTTGTTGCAGGATACACTTGTACAAAATCTGCCAACGGAGCGTCCAGGTTTCGTCCGCGGTTTCCGGAAGAACCTTGGAGGCAAATGGAGACGTCTCGTCAAAAGGAAGCCCCCTCAAGAAGTTTACACCATTCCAGCAGAGTTGAAACCCCAACTCAAGCAGATCTACGTTTATTAACTTTACTCCGTCTAATTGGCCATCGAACACGGTCAATGGACTTCGGGTCTGGCCTTCGGGGCGGCCTTCCTTAATGAGACTGATTTTCAAACTATTATTACTTCCGTCTTTCGTTAAAGAAGATGGCAATTTTAGTTCGCTTGTAAATATTTGACTCTAGGTTTTAATATTTACGCCATGATATATCACCTGATTGTGATTTTTAAAAACTAAACTAGGCGACTCCTTCCGATTTATCCGGAAGTTGCGTTGTTCTGATATTTTATATTTAGTTGATTTTGAAAAACGCTTTCCTAGACAAAATAAATAATTGAGTAATTTCGTAAATGTAATTTTCCTCTCGGCTGGCCGAAAAACATATAATTCGTTCCCATGGTGTTTTCGAATTTGACTGTTTTGCTGTTCAAAAGTTGGTTCCTGGAAAACGAATTTGGTTTTTTCGGACAAACCTTATGACTCATATTGAGTCAAATCATTCTTGAATGTAATGCCGTCAGTTGAATTGCAGAATATTAAAGCATTCATGAATCTCCAATGTTGCTATCGAACAATTTTCCGAAAAAAAAGTAGCTTTGAGACGATGTGAAAGTCGTTCTCAATACTAGTCAATATAATTTAGTGCTTGTTATAACATCAGAGAAAATTGATCCAGTTTAAATAAATTATTATTCAGTATTAAAATATAATTTATTAGAAACTCGCGTGTATATGCATATCAAATTACCGCCATTCTAAATAATACCCATGTATCTGGACTATCTAGATGCGAATAACTTGAGTGGATTAATCATCAACATCTCTTGTATTAGTATTTTAGATTCAGCCATCTTTGCACAAAACTCCGAAATCTATAGATAGCAAGTCATTAGTTACCTTCTGTATTAAACCATTTTGTTTTCAAATCAGATACCATGATTGTATAGCAATATTGTATATAAGCGCAATAATGTATATAAGTGCAATAATGTATATAAATGCAGTCCTGTATATAAAATGTATTCATGAGATCATAATCATCAGAGAAAATGTTACATATCTATCTTCTATCATGGCTGCCATTAATTTAGAATACATGTGTTTTATAAATGACCCATTAACTACCTGCTGTCAAACACATAATGATTAGTTTAAAATGGAGGGATTAGTAAAAGATTATTTGTTGAAATGCTTGTCAAAATTGCTGATACTGTCAATATTATTCTTTAAGTTTCTTTGTTGTAATTCTGGTTATTTTAATGGTTCAGGTTGGAAACCAAAAAACACCTTTTATATGAATTGAAAGGGGTTAATTTTTCCAGAGAGTTTAGTTTTGGGAAAAAACGATTTTTTTCTTAAGTGTTTTCCAAACAACTACGTTCATATGAATCATGAATGGTTTCATATGAATATTGAATTTCATGAAAATCAATTTTTCCTATTCATTTTGTCAATCAGATATGATCCATTTCGACAAAGTTGGAAATTTACTAGCTTAGGCTTTTGAATTTTAGCAACACTGATTCAGAGCAAAGAGCAGGCAATATGAGACCCGATTTTGAATTTCATAGTAGAAAGAAACAATGCATATTTTACATTTTTGTAGAACAAGAACGTAAGTCTGTGTAAACCAATTGGTATGTTAAGAAGCTTCGAAGTTAGATAGGTATCTGAAAATCATTTTACTATCTATAATTGTTGAAAGATAACTGCAATATGTTATTCACTACGAAAAGGCTACTGCGAAACATGATATATTTTTTGAAAATAAAGTTTGTGAAGGTCAAATCGTAAGGTATAGTTTGTGAAAAGACAACTGATTTCACTACAGTAAATTTCAATACATTTTCATCTCATTCAGGCTAAGATCGGCAGAAATATTTTATCAACTCATTTAGTAAAATTTTCAAATGATACTATCTGCATTGAAAATGTGTGTTAAACAACTGTATATATACTCTCCCAAAGAGTTTCTTCAAAAGTGATTGGAACAGCCGTTCCCACCAAAAACAACTTTCTAATGAGCTATTGGAATGAACATGACATTTAGTATCAAATTGAATGAAAACTAGCGAATGCAATTTGCGAAGGCTTCTTTCTGGATATTATATGAAAGATCGATTCGGATTATGGTGGTTTGGAATAACATGAGACAAATTTACCTGCTAGGTAGATAAGACTAACGACCTTATTGTGTCTAGCCAGATGTCTGATGGAATAATTCAAATAATCTTTGTGAATGTTGAAAATAAAACCTTTAAGTTCGAATGTTGTAAAAGAACATGAGCGTACGGATTTTTTTTTTTGAGGATGTAGAACAACGACACTTTCGATGGTGTTAATAGAAGTTAGAAAAAGCCTCTTTGATTTATCGTAATGAATGAAAACTATAGAAGAAATATACACATCTGTCACATATTTTCAAAGTGCCATTGTGTTAGCGACAATGTCAAATTCTCAAAAATATTTCTGATGTTACCATTTTCTGAACAATATATCGGTGAATAATCTCTGAAATATTCTCGTGTTTATCTCCAAATGCCGAATTTTCGGCATTTGAATACAAAAACCACTGTTTCTACCTCACTGTACCTACGTGTCTTTCTCATATGTAGGTTTCGTAAATGCGGTCGAGCTTCAAGTCAGTAGTGTTTGGACACTCTGATTTCTTGGTTGAATCTGTATTATTTTCCTGACGATGAGTAACACTTCAAAACCGCTGTGTAGGTTATTAATCGATTGGATTCGGCATGTTCCTGCTGCAGGACGAACGAAAACATCTGTCAGATCAAGGAAGGCAACCGGGAAAGTAGGTATATTAGTTGTTTTGCAGCAATCATTCCTAACTGTTTATGAAAAATTATTTTATTTTTTATTTTACTGAAAAGTAACCCAATTTCACATTTTTGAGACAATCTAATAAAAGTCGTCTGCAGTTTATCAACTATTTCAAAATATTATATCTTGTAATCCTTATACCAACCAAATTTGTCTTCGTTTGTCATTCGTAGGAAAAAGGATATTATTCGAAAGTATGTACTTTAACACGTATGTTATTGATCGAAATTTCCATTTGAACTTTTCACTAAATTGCTGAAGAAAATTGACTATTTTGTTATTGAACTAAAAGTAATTTCAATTTGCATTGCCTGAAATACGATTCAGTAGATTTTGAGCTTCATGAATCGCGTGAAATTTCAAATATAGAGTTGGAAATATTCAAAAAGGGTTGATAGGTAAAACAGAAGTTTCAATCTCCTCACTTTGTCTTAAAATGAAAAAATACTTCCCATATTCATTCATTGGTTTGCCCAAACACCTGAATATAATTCTGTATACTTCGTAGAAAATAATATGTAAATGGCGAGTTGAAACATTTGAATTAGGTACCATAATGAGTATTTTATTCACTTTTTCGTTGAATTTTTAGTCGAATCTAAGGCTTATCAAATTGTGAAACTGGATTATGAATTATGATCTTCTAATGAGGTTCGTGTGACATCTAACGGACAGTAGACTTACTGACTTACTGCACTTGAACCGACTGAATTATACTGGAAAAACGTGACCTTTGATATGACCATTGTTTGTAGAAAAGTTTTGGCCTATTTTTGTCGACAGTGATTCTCTTCCTATGACACGAACTACAACTAGATAATTTTAGGCAAAATAATTGTTGAATAATGTTACAGTCAGCCGTCTATTGGCTGATTATTCTAGTAAACCGCAAGTCAATCCAATGGATATAATTTTCACTTGTTCGTTCATGTTACTTAACACTTATCAGAACTTACGAAATGGATTGAATAAATGGTTTATTAAGTTATTTCTAATAGTAATGAAATTGTTGTAAACAAAGGAAAGGTGATATTTTCGCCGACACTGACGGCAGAGTCATCTATTTTTCGATAGTCACAACAAATGTATCGGTCAGGGTTGAACGGTAGCTATTTCTATTCAAGATTCAGTATTTCTATAATAGATGGTCGTATTAGTAAACAATGAATATTATATTAGCGAAGCTACTACATCTACAATAAATGGAGTAATACGTGTATGCACGTGTACTTTGATAAGGTGTGGTTGATAAGGGACGCTTCCAAATGTACACTTGGGGCTATAAGGACAACATTCATCTTTTCCTCCTAACTATTTAGAATTAAAAAAAAACAGAAATTCAAAAGAGTATTAACCTTCTTCTCAGATTCTCTGGAAACCGTCTTTGGAAAAATAGAAAAAAAAGTTACTCAAGAACGGCGAGCAATCGAACCCCATCTGTCATAAACTTTTTTATCAGAAATAATCTGTCTATCAGCGCCTTCAGTCTGAACCATGACATGAGACTGCTGAGCATTCATTCTAAATAAAAACATAATATTAACATTATAAAAAAAAACTAAATGATAATTCCAGCAACATTTTTAAATCAGTTTCATGTTTACTACTTATATCGCTAGAAACAATATAGAATTACTGATAAGTGGAGATTATTATTGTATTATAATCTTTAACCAAGTGATCATCTTCAAGAGGAAGATTAAACTAAATCTACATACCATGTTGAAGATGATCACTTGTATTGGTGATTGAAATACGTGTCAAGGTGTTAAAAATAACTATGACACCAAAGGTTCTAAACAGTGCAAACAAGCGAACGTTTATTGTATATCTATTGCTAGAAGATTTGATTCAACTTCGTATTATTCATTTTGATAATATACAGGGCTATTCAAATTCGTTTCTGTACATGGGGATCTCGTAAACAATAAGAGATATGGTGTCGGTTAAATTATGACAAAGTTGTGTATTTTTGAGACCTATTCAATGATGTAAAGAAATCGAATATAGCTTTTTTGGTTCTGGAGATATACAAGAAAAACAAAAAAATAGCAATTTTTTTGCCTATATCTTCTTTATTCGCATACATATTGAAAATCTGTCCACATTTTGCTATTGGCACTTGATGTGGGCTCTCAGAATATATCCATGAATCTTTTATACAGGATCAATTGAATTNCTATGTCCGATATCAACTTCTGTTTCTATATCAAGATACTCAATAACTTTCATATTTGTGTATAATCAGAAATGATTATTGAATAACAAAAATTAGTTAGCTCCTTAACTATATTATTAAACAGGAACTGTTGGAAGGTAGGTTGCACTATATCGTTTTCTTGAACTATACCTTCACCAATAGGTAGCCCCTCCCATTCAAAAAGGCTTCGACTGGTCCACAATGTTTCGGAACGTTCCACAGCATAAGATATGTTTCTGGAATGTTCCACAATGACCTGCAACATTTGATTCCCCTCGAAATCGATTTACCTTTTGCATATTCAGTAAATCGT